ACAACAACAACCAGTCAGCAGCAACCAACTCCAGCCACGTAAGTAATACCTTACTTGAAGTATTGACAGCGTCTCTACGCTGTCTGTATTCTGTAGTACATACAGGGGGAAGATCAGTGGGTGAAGATGTGCCAGATTACTTAACGCCTGTCGACCACCAGTTCCCCTTCTTTGTGTCTAGTGGAAGCAATCGTCTTCAGAGCCTTCCTTCTTGGGAAATGATCTGAGAGTTCGGCTCTTTTCCTCTTCCCATTATTTTGGGTTACCGGTGCTGCGCGATGGGTCTTCCCAAAAATTCCCACCAGCCCTAAAGACTAGGAAATATCAGGCGTGGCTGGGGGGGGGGGAATCAATCTAAGACAAGTGCTGTAATCTCTGTAATATCGGTAATATTTCACGGCGCCCCCAAAAATAGCCACTCGGCAACCACACGTGATGGCTGAGGCGCCAACGGTCTAGTTTCAGGTCGGTAAGGCGTAAATTACGCATGACGGAGAAGCCCAAGAAGAGCCGGGCGAGAAAGTGGAAAGTTGCTTGCTTTTCCTTTCCAAAAGATCTCGGCCAACCTGAACCTAATAGGATCCAGTCTCCCCTGTTGTCATCCGTCTGAGTGTCTCATACTGCAACTAAACTAACTTCTTCCTCCACATCCCACCCCCGTTGCAATTTGACCACCTTTTTCTTTTTTAAAACATTACTTCTACTTCTCTCTCTCACTTCAGCCTTATTGTTGCTTTTTACTCTTCTGCCTCCCTTGTTATCACGCTTTCCACCCAATTCAATCCCCCCTCCTCTCCTCCTCACCACCTAACTGGTCTCCTGTAGCCGCCTTCGCATACCCGTCACCGGGCCTATGTCTCCTCGCAGCCGTTGTGTGCCACTATAGCATCCGTCAGAGGTGGATATTTATCCGGCGCTTGCAAACAGAGCTGGTTTCTCTCCGTTTCTTCCAGGCACTTTCACCGGCAATTACCTTCAAACAAGCGTTTTCTGTGGTTGATCGGAAAGTTTACACTAGTCAACCTAGAGTCGGTGACGAACGCCGGCCGTTTCTCCTCAGGTTCAATCTCGCTCTCAGCTTGGTCGCGCATCGCTCCAAGCCGATACCAAGCAATCTTCCGTTGACGTCGGCTTGTTTGGTTCCTTCTTCAATATGCCTGGTTTCGCGGATTCGTTCTGGACCCCCGACTACGCCACCGGTCTGGGGGTGCTTTACGGGAAACTCCAACAGGGCGCCGTCGAGAACAAGCAGATCATCACCATTGCTTCTATGCGCGCAGATGCGGAGGAACAGTACGGACTGAAATTGGGGGATATTGCGCCGACCGTGGATCGGGTCACGCCAACGGGGTTCGGAAAAGATGACGGGGCAAGCGTGAGAAAGGTTGGTGCCTTTATACTCGTACGGAAAGTTCTGATCCAGGTGATACTGATATTAGGTCTTTTCGTCTAGGCTTACGAGGGAGTTCGCACTGAGATGGTCGAGGCATCCAAGAACCACCAGAAGATCGCGTCGAACATCCGGGAGCTAGTCGTTAGCCCCTTCAGGCGTTGGTGCGATCAGCACGAGGCTCGAATTCAAAATTCACACGATGATCTCCAGGCTCGAATCAAGGAACATTCGAAACAGGTGGATCTGGTCAAGAAACTCCGAAGCCATTATTTCAATAAGTGCCGTGTGGTTGAAGACCTCGAGGAAGAGAACAAACTCGCTTTCCAGGCCCCCGAAACAAGTCCGAAAATTAAGCCCACCCCCAAGATTGTCCTGCCAGAAGAACAGGAGGAGGAGGAGCCGGTGGAGATTGGCGATCGGATCTACCCTCCGGAGGATTTGAAGAGGCTTCTGACACATATGCTGGAAAACATCAAGATTGGCGAGGTCAAGGTGCCGATCATCGGCACATATCAGAACACGTCGACCGGTGCGGATATTGTGGAATACACTCAGAAGCACCTGAACGGAACTAGCATCACCTATTCGGAGAGAATTGGGCAGGATCTCGTGGACAATGGGTTTCTCCGTCTAGTCGGAAACATGGGCAGCACCTTCGCGAACAGCTCCAAGATGCGCTACCAGTGGCGCCCTAAGGTGTTCCAGATCACTGGTGTCCCAGAGAAGAAGAAGCCTCTTATGCGCGTAACCTCTGCGGCAACAAGCGAGGACGGCAGCGAGTCTCCGCTGTCTTCTGTTTCTGAGATGCTGGCCGGCTGGAACCCTCTCAACAACCCGTACCCCAACGAGACACCAGCGGAAAAGTTGCGCAGGGAAGCTCGCGAGGCCGATGAACGGTACAAGGCTGCGGTGCGCAAGCTGGACATGATCAGATGCAAGCTCGAGGAAGAGGTTGTTGAAAACTTGCGCTTCATGGAGCAGTGTGAGCTCGATCGCCTCAAGGCAATCAAGGCCGTGATCCTGGATTTCTCGGGCGCCATCAGCAATGTCATTCCCAACCTGCAAAGCACGGTCGACCACATGATGCTTTACCAAGAGACCATCCAGCCGCTAGGCGATCTCCGTTACCTTCTGGAGAACTACCGGACGGGTGGCTTTGTACCTCGTGTGCAGGCGTATGAGAACTACTACGGATCTGTGGAAGGTATGCGCTCTGCCGACTGGACATTATGAAGATTCAGTGTTTGCTAAAACTCTCCAGATCAAAATTTTGGTGTTGACCTCGAAGCGAGAGCCAGAGCCGACCGCAAGCGTGTTCCCATCGTGGTCACCACTCTGCTGACCTACCTGGATAACCGTAAGTTGTCTTTCACCCGGTCCTATGGAGCGCTTTGAATCTAACCTGGAAAGGCTACCCTGACCTTGAGGGTGACGAGGCACGACGTGCGATCTGGCTGTACGATGTGCCTTTGGCAGCGACACACCACCTCCGTAGCGCATTGAACAACAGCAAAGCGGATTATAACGAGATCCTGGAGAAATATGAAATCCCCATCATCGCGAGTGTTCTGAAATTGTACCTCCTTGAGCTGCCAGGTTCGTGTTTATTCATACCTTTACTTATGGTTCGGGTCTAATACCTACCATAGACTCTTTGGTTTCCTCCCAGGTTTATGAGATTGTGAAGACAATTTATTCGACGACTGCCCATGAGACGACGGAAGAGGGCCGCATCAAGGTCCTTCAAAGCACTCTCGGACAACTCCGTCTGAACAACATTGCCACGCTTGACGCCATTATGACCCATTTCACGCGTTTGATTGATCTTACATCTGCCGATGAGAATTATGTCTCTGCACTTGCCCAGGCCCTGTCGCCTTGCATTCTCCGTCCTCGCACAGAAAGCAGCCTTACGATGAACGAACGGCACAGCTACCGTCTCATCCGCGATCTATTCGCTCATAAGGATGCGATCTTTGGTGAATTGAAGCGCCAGTCAAGTGCTCTGGGGATCAGTGGATCCACCAACCGTCCTCGTGCCATCAGCACAGATGAGAGCAACCGCCGGGCCGCAATGGAGGCCCGGAACCGTGCTATTCTCGACCGCAGCCGTGCCAACAGCCCGGCTCCTCCCCAGAAGCATCGCCGTGACCGTTCCAGCGGCGCTTCAGAGACCAGACGTTTCCCCATCAACGTGACCAGCCCCACTGAAAGACGGACTGTCGCCCGCAGCAGCCTGGATGTTCCCATCAAAAGCGAATCTCCCACCGCTGCGGAACAGATGACAAGCGTGAACATCAACGGTCCTGAGCCGGTCACCAACGGCGCCTTGAGTGAATCTCCTGTTTCCGCTGCGGCCAGCGCAAGCCCCTCATCGGGTAGTGCCAGTCCTCCCCCGGCCCCTGAATCGGACGCTTCTGTGACCCCAACCACAACTCCCACCCAAGATACCGAGAAGCGCTCATCAACGATCTCCCGGTCTAGCGTTTCCTACACTCGCAAACCCGGCCTCGGAAACCGTTCCAGCTTCCCGACCGTCGCGAGCACGGAGGGCACAGACAGCAAGCGCAGCAGTCTAGCCGGGACCGAGCCGAAAGGCGTCACATTGGAAGACAAGCCAATGGACGATGACTAGATGTGTCTATGACTTATAGAAGCCTTTTACCCGTCTCCCTCCAAGATAGGAGAAGACAAAACCAGGCTTATAAAAGAATGTTTGTTACCTTATTCATATCCTCTCTTTCTTTCAAGGACACGAACGATGACGCTGCTACCACAACTTCCCGGGGAATACACGACAAGACAAGGAGCCTACCAATACCAATGGTACCGACCAGCATCCGTAAAAGATTGAGCCTTGATCCTTGGACCAGCCATTCCACACAACACAACAGACACTATCTCAACCTAAAGCAGGCCTTATTGCTTGAGAATGGCGTCTTGTATGTGTGTGAGGGTGTGTGCTTTGTGTTTTCATTAGCGGCGGTCCTATCGAACTGTTTCACCTTTTGTCATCAGCTATTCATCTACCTACCTATCTATCTATTCATATCTATATGCCTCTCCTTCAATGTTCTTCACATACCCAACATCTTTGTTGTCCCTCCTGTTACCTTTTGTGTTATCATTATGTATGTATGCATAGCTGTTTATTCTGTACTTTTCTTTGTTTTAACCTCTATCGATTCAAGTTGAATTGGTTTGTTTCTGCTCTCTATAAGCGATATCTTTCATATTTGCTGTGGATTTTGAAAGTCCAATTCAGTGTATAGCATCGTCATATCATATCATATCATATCACCTCACATGCAGAGTCAATGTGTTTTGATTTGAGCATCATGTAGAGATTTATTTTCTGAAATCTACTGCTTCTGTTTTATCTTTATGTGTAAGGGTAGTCAATTTTTTGTTGAAAGCTGTCATTATCATTTACTAGTTGTATGTATGTAACGCCGTATGCCAATGTGGGGATCATCGCTAAGTGGATATGTGCATGTGCATCTCTTTATCCAACGCCGAGAGAATGGACCAACTGCCCGCAGAAGACATTCAAAAGTGCAAGCTCGCTGGGGGTTTATACAGGAAATGGGAAACAGAGGGAACGTGTTTACAGCCCTTGACCGGTAAGCAGTCTCCGGAGGATACCCTCTCCCGCTCCGGTAAGTTGTGTCTCGATCTCTTTCTGAGAGACGAAACAAACCAGGCTCTGCTCATCCAAGGCTTTGCTGGGTGTCATTGGCCCGTGGAGCTTGGAAGGACTGCGTCGCAGATCTGATCCGCCGGCGACTGTACCACCTCGACCACGGCCCTGGTATTCACCTACAAGGCCCATCGTCTCCAGGTTGCTGAGCACGTCCTTGAATTCGGTAGATGTAAGAGGGTGTAGGATATTGTCTTGCCGACACAAAGTACAATATGTGTCGTACACTTGCTTGATCGTCGGCGGCAAATGCTTGGTCTTGGACGGTGTGCCCGGGAATTCACCTTGCCGCCGCTTGCGGTCCAGGGCAATCAAAGCACATATGGCTGCCTTCTGCTGAAGGTTGAGCCCCTGTAGTCGCTGGACAGTCCCCTGTCCAAATGCCGCCGAAGTGATACGCGCAACATGCGCAATGCTGGCTCGAGGCGCTGTGATAGCAGTGTAAGATAAAGTAGGAGTCTGTTTGGGTGAAGAAGACTTTGAGGATGAGGAAAGATTGTTGTTCTCGACGAGAATTGTTTTGGTAGGACTCTCGGGGTTGGCATTCTGTGCCTCGAGCTTTCTGAGTGCTTCCTGCTCGATAAGATCGATGGCACGCTTGACCAGTTCGAATGCCTTCCGTAGATCGCCAGTCTGCGATGCCACCTTCTTCGAGCACAGTTGAATAGCTGCTGGTTGGACAAAGGGAACGAAATTGGGCTCCACCGTTTGACCTTCAGGTAGTAAAGAGCGAAGACGATTGGTGATTACGCTGGCAATCTGGCCAGCATTGTAAGGCAAGAAGGGAAGCAAGCGAGGCTTCAAGTTCTTGGCCTTCAATTGTGGGAGTGATCGATCAGTCAAGTCTAGCGCATTGGCAATGCCGATGAGCAAGAGTCTAGACTTTTCCTGCAACGACCACTCAAACAAGGACTGGAGGATACCGGAATCCGCGGTGAGGAGATGATCAATCTCGTCCAGAGTAACCAAGAACATATCATCTTCCTCTTCGGATGTAAACATCAGTCGTAGCCGATCTGCTTCGCTCTTCTTGAAGACGTCATGGTCGTTGCAGAGATCGCCGATAAGCCTGCTGTAGACGTCACGAGCACCCCGCATACTTGCGCAATTGAGATGTGCGATTTTGAGAGACTTCAAGTCCATGTCGTGACACACTTCCTGAACCAAGGCACTCTTTCCAGTACCCGGGGGACCACTGACATACAAGCAACCACCTTTGCGCGAATCAACACCATCTTGTATGAACGAGGTCAATTTCTCCCGTTCGGTATCCCGACCCACTATCCGAGCTGAAGTTGCACCCCGCGCAAACATCTGCCTTGCTTCGGAGTATATAGTCTGCGTGGTGGTTGGCGTCGATATATGTCGAGGTGTGCGTGGAGTCATAGATTTCCCGCCAATCAGGACTCGATGTTTCGGTGTTGTCGGAGGTGAATCGAGTGCATCGCGAAATCTGGACTTCGAAGGTGTCTTGAACTCGACTGGTGTCGAGTTTTCGTCTAGATGGATTAGTTCTATTTGAACAGGGAGAGCAATGGAGAAATCCTACCATTGACCGGATCTGTAGCATGGCTGCGCTTAACAGGTGATATGGCCGCCTTGCCAACCTGCACAGTACGCTTTGTCTGTCCACTATCGACCGAATCATTCTTTGATTCTTCCTGAGGCTCTTCTTGAATAGCGGCGCCATTGCCGTTTCTCGTCCGTGACCGAAGTTGGCGCGGTTGGGGTGCAGGGGGCTCGCTTTCTTGACGGACGTGAGGTTGTTGTGTCCGGCGCCTGCTTGCTCGACGCACGGGTAATGATGGTACTACTACAAAGGAACGTCAGTCAAGATGATCTAAAAGAAATTACGGAGGAACTGAGGGGTATAAAAGTCGTACCTTCCGGTTCGATAGCACCTCGCTGGCGCTTACCGAGGACCGAAGCAGCCATGATATGATAGATTCAATGGTAATTGGCAAGAGCAACCGAGGTAAACAAGATGAGAAGGAGATAGATGATCGATGATGAAAGGGAAGGAGCGGGTGTTAGAGAAAATACAGTAGTAGTAGTAGAGTAGTATTTGGAGTGGAGGTACTGCTATCCACCACGATTTTCCCAAGGAGGCATAATTAACAAGACGCGTCGAGTTAAGGTGCGCGTGTTACTACGCGTAGCTTGTTCTTATCACGTGACTGGATGCGAGGTTGACGCGCTTCGCCTACCAGTCACGTTTCTTCCCGCGGGGTTTTGCTCATCTGCCAGTTCCTGCCTGACTTCTCAGGCGTGGAAGCCACAGGGTCGGACCGCGTGATTATCCGTCTGCTCATCGGATGCTGTGAAGTGCGTCACCAATTCTACCTGACGGATAGTACCTAAACTATTAACGCCGCGCATCCTGGGTTGTTTGTGCTGCATTCCCTTGTACAATCTCCTGGTTCACTAGAGCGGAGTCTCCTCAAGTATCTCCCTTCTATTGCCTTTATCTTTATATGCATTCATCTCGAATTTCTTCTAACTTCATTCCTCCATCTTCGTTGATCACCGCCTAGCACTGACATTGCTGTTTGCAGCTGTTTGCATCACATTGCCTGCCTTCGACCTTTCTGTTGGGATTCCTGCTGCATACACCCTCCTCCCATCACGGCGATCTCTTGATTCCCTTCATCCTTCCTTCTTCGCCTCTTTCTCATATAAATACCAGTGCCGTGCGCCCGCCATGGAAGGCGACGTGGTAGCGCAGTTCACTGAAATCACCGGCTCAAACCCGGAGCTGGCTACCCAATATCTGCAGCTGACTGATTTCAACATCGAACAGGCTGTACAGCTTTTCTTCGAGAATGGCGGTGCGCCACTGACTGATGATCCCTTACCGTCTGCCTCCACGCCGCAGCAAGCTTCTCATGCTGGCGGCTATGGAAACGAGTCCGGGGTGGTCAATATCGACTCCGATGACGACGTCACAATAGATGAGTCTCGCTCTGCGCCTCGGAACCACGGCGCTATGTTCGAAGACGATGCCGCCATGGCCCGTCGCCTCCAAGAAGAGATGTACGGCGGAGGAGATGCCGAAGAGAACGTGCGTGCGCCGATGGCCCGTACAACAGAAACCTTGGTGGGGCCTGAAGCGGACTTTGACGATGGCGATATGCATGCCAGCATATTGGGTCAACTGCGCGCGCGCCAACAGCGAAACAGTTAGCACTTCACCCTGCCTTCCATCACTATTTCTCCAAATGCACGGCTAACTTTGCTTCTCCTTAGACCGGCCGGGCATCTTCAACCAGCGAGACACATCGATATGGTCTGGAGAGGACGACACCTCGGAACGTGAACGGTTGGCTGCAGCGACTGGAGGAGCTTCCGAGGCCTCGAGTAAGTCTAATATGTTAGCTGAGATGTACCGCCCGCCTTTCGAGATCATGTCCAGGCTTCCGTGGGATGTCGCTCGTCAAGAAGGTCGTGACAATGAGAAGTGGTTGATGGTCAATATCCAGGACCCTTCAGTCTTTGATTGCCAGGTTCTGAACAGAGACCTCTGGAAGGATGCGGGCGTGAGAGACACCGTTAAGGAGCATTTTATCTTCATGCAATATTCCAAGGATGACCCTCGCGCGGGACCGTATCTGCAGTACTACTTTCAGGCCAGCGACGTCTCAGACAATTATCCCCACATCGCGATTGTCGACCCTCGGACTGGAGAACAGATGAAGGTCTGGTCGGGGCCTCCCGTGATCAAGGCGTCGGACTTTTTGATGCAAGTCCACGAGTTCCTCGACAGATACAGTCTGAAGCACAACGTGAGAAATCCCGTGGCGAAGAGGAAGCCGGAGAAGAAGGAAAAGAGTATCGATGCAATGACTGAAGAAGAGATGATGGAGATGGCAATGAGAAACAGCCTAGGGGATGAGGCGTCGCAAGGTCCGAAGGTGGAAGACCCCGACGATCTCACACGCAGCACTGATGATGTGAAGGGCAAGGGACGGGCTGAAGACGTTGGGATGGAAGAGGCCGAACAACCTGAACAGAGCGTCTTCTTGTCCATCCCGGACAATCGACCCCACACAGAGCCCCCTGCCGATCCTGCCACAACCACGCGCATTCAGTTCCGACACCCATCGGGGCGAGTGATTCGACGTTTTGCTTTGACGGATCCTGTCCAGCGGATCTACGAATGGCTCAAGGCTGATCCGCCCTTGGAGGATAAAGCCGGTGTGGAGTTTGAGCTGAATGCCATGGGCCGCAATCTGATTGACTCGCTGGATCAGACCGTCGCCGATGCTGGACTGAAGAATGGTACGGTCATGATAGGGTATGTCGAGGAATAGACTGCAGTGGGACATGGCACTTGAGAGGAGACTCGGAAGGTCCAGGACGGGGGCCTATGGAGCTGTCAGGACTGGTGCCTGTTGCTCTTCGGGCGAATTGCTGCTCTGGGGATGGATGCCTTTGTTTAACGCGGATGAGCATCTCTCTGGAAGCCAAGCACCGACATCAGGACTACTGAGTGGTTCTTTCCAATTATGTAGATCGGGTCACGCTTTGACTAGTAATTGTCCTCTATATTTGCGAGTCTGCATAAAGAGGAGATGGATCTAATGGCTTCATGAGAAAGAAATCAGACAACAATCACACATTTTACCCTTGATATCCCTTTTTACATCAGGGCGGTTCCGTACTTTGTGCAGCTTCCACAATAAGCAGTACCAGACTAGGCAACTCATCTCTTCACCGCCTGCTCAACTAGGTGCTAAGAGATGGTGGGGGTTTTATCGAAACCAAATCAACTCACCGCCCGGCCAGAAACAACCCCGCGTTGCTCCCCGATCAAGCAATCAATCAGTGGCCGGTATTCGGGTGGGTATTTTTGGTAATCGCCGGTTCCTGTTCCTGGTTTCGTGGTTCCAACTTGTCTCCAATTGTCATTGTTATTGTTGTTGTTGTTCTTGTTGTTCTGCTTCTGCTTCTTCTTCTTCTACTTCTTGTTGTTGACATGCAAGGGAATTAATTATCTCCCTCCCATTCCTTCCATCTATTCTCATCTGCCTAGCTTATATCGCCTACCCGTTTTTCAGCCCTTGCGCCCTGTTTCTTTCCCTTTCACATCACGCAAGGATCGGTGGCTGTACCCATTCTTCCTCCTCTTTTCCCCCCTCCGCCTCCCTCGGAGACACACAGACACTCCAGCCAGCTAGCTATCTGTCGGTTGTCATCCCCAAAACAATCATAGTTGAGCGTCAGCTTCTGCTCCCGATGCATTTGCCCGAAATTCTATTTAGCATCTCTCCTTGAACCGCAATCATTGATTGATTGACCGATCTATCTATTTCGGAAATTCAATGTCTCCTTTCTTTACTTGTTTCCTATCTAAGCCCTACCTCCACCTCCTAGCCTAGCTTAGGCGATAGGTATGTCGCCCTTGATCCTCCACAACCGCCCGCGCGAAGCTGCCTCCCCATCATCTGATCTCTTATATGTTCTCAGTCTTCTGCGCATGTGGTGCTCGCATTCCACAGACAATCATCTCTTCTCTTTATGGCAGACGCTGACTTTCATTTACCAGTGTTGCAGAACCGGGCGAAACAATTGATTTCTACTCCGCCGGCGGTTAGTTACAGCCAAGATGGAAGGCCTAGTGGATCCAGAGACGATCTACATGAAGCAGAGCTGCATCGGTACGTACTCGGGCATGGTGTGATTCATCTTGCCGCGCAATCAGCTTCTCCTAACTCAGTCATACCGTTGCAGGCGGCGGGAGCTTCGGACGAGTCTATAAAGGGTATGTATGCTCAGGCACCTCTCTCATCTTGCTCTGATTGCGCAATATATTCTGAGAACTTGGCGGCTTACACTGCTATTACTCGCAGCGTTGATAAGCGTACCGGTGCCTCTGTTGCTATCAAGATCATCGACGTCGAGAATGCCGAAGATGAGGTGGAAGATATTATCCAAGAAATTGCCATCTTGTCGGAACTCAATTCTCCTTATGTCACTCGATACCATGGTTCTTTCTTGAAGGGATCCAGTTTATGGATCATCATGGAGTTCTGTTCCGGTGGCAGTTGCTCCGATCTTATGCGCCCGGGAACAATCCCGGAGGAGTATATCATGATCATCATAAGAGAGCTACTCCGAGGGCTGGACTATCTACATAGCGACAAGAAGCTGCACCGGGATGTCAAAGGTACCACCTGATCTCGCTTGCCATACCACCGTTATCTTGGAGACTAACATCAGCGCCAGCTGCAAACATCCTGCTTACCTCGAACGGCCAAGTGAAATTGGCTGATTTCGGAGTTTCTAGCCAACTGTCAGCCACAATGACTAAGAAGAATACTTTCGTGGGTACCCCATTCTGGATGGCCCCGGAGGTGATTAAGCAATCTGGGTACGACTACAAGGCCGATATCTGGTCTCTTGGAATCACTGCGATTGAATTGGCCAACGGAGAGCCTCCTTACTCGGACATCCATCCCATGAAGGTGTTATTTTTGATTCCCAAGAACCCCCCGCCCGTTCTGCAAGGCGATTACAGTAAAGCGTTCAAAAACTTTGTGGAACTTTGTTTGAGACGAGATCCCAGGGAACGGCCGTCCGCCAGAGAGCTGCTCGAGCACCCGTTCATCAAGAGGGCAAAGAAGACAACCTATCTGACCGAGCTGATTGAACGCTACGAGCGCTGGAACGCCATTCACGGCAATAGGGGGGCTGATGATGAAGACATTCAGGAACCTCCACCTAAGACGTCTCCGCCTGAGGAAGAGGACGATTTATGGGACTTTGGCACCGTGCGGCCGGCAGGGAGAGCACCCCCTCTCAAGCCGATGAAAGAAGCGGACATGAATGCGAGAAGCCATGAAGCCAATGAGTGGAACATGAAAGACGAGCCCCGTCGAGACATTTTACGGCCAAAGAGCAATATGCCTTCTACACCCCTGCAGACGAAAAACATGCCTAGTGCTATGCCGAAGCCATTGTCGCCCACCAAGGTTCCCTTGCCACCTTCACCCATCAAACAAGCATCAGATTTCACACCTCAGACACCTTCACACCTACAACAGCCAGTCTCACGGCAACCCAAGGGGAGTCCTGGTAGTGACTACGATAGAGCTCTACAACAAGCTCTAGCTGAAGATCTGAGCTTCCTCCAGCTAGATCGCTCCCCAGGCCCTTCGACAGCCTTCTCGCAAGCCCGGGGTGCTCCCCCAGGTTTACAAGGATACCAAAAGGCCCCGCAGTCACACCTGCCGGAAGTTCCATCCTATCAACGCCTACCAGATCCACCGGCCTCAAATGCTGTGAACCAGAACGTTAGACCTGCCAAAGAAGCATATTCGCAACGTCCAACATACGCACAACCACAAGCACGGCTTCCCCCAGCACCAAGGCATATGTCACCGCCATCCCAACCATCACGGCCGCAGCAAGCGTTGCCACATGGTCCTCGGCCTACATCCATGAGGCCCGACCCTCTCCAGCTCAATACCACAACCGATGGGGCCCTTGATGAGCGAGTACGGGAGCGGGAGGCCATTCAGGGTCAGGCCCAGATGCCCCCTTCCAACGAGATCACAGCTCTGAATAGTGTGATACTACCTGCTCTCAAAGCAGCCATTCGTCGCCGGACGCGGCGTCTGGAGCTCATTTCACCTAACACGACGAGGGATGCTAGCGGCAATATCAGCGAGTATCAAACACGTGAGGAGTATGTCCATGGAATGATGGAAAACCTGGTGGGCGATATCTACAGCATGTTCACGAAGCTTGAACGCTGGGACAACGAGGCACCTGTGGGAATGGGCGCTCAGGTGACCTCATTCTTAGAGGGATTTCTAGAAGAGATCCTTGTTCGGGTTGAGCCTTCTGACTCAGATTCGAACCCAGGCAGAGCCTAAGTGTTACTCTGGTTTAAACTCGAGCATAGCACGATTAACTAATTAGGCTTGCCTCTTGAGACTCTGACTAGAATGACAGCCCACCTTACTGCGAGCACAGCCCACCTGCATAGGGTCGAAGCTGGAAAGGATTGGCAAATACAAATTATTAGTCACTACGGACTTATTGGGGACCTATTCTCACGATCATGGCAGCTATGCAGTTCAATTTGGTTTTTGTGTGTCTTGGATCGACTCACATACCATCTTCTTCTTTCTCGCTAAATTTCCTGCTCTTGCAACCCCTTTCCGATTCAACAGAACAAGAATCAATGGCGTTCATCTTCAAATATGCACATTCTCTGCTATTGGTGCTCTATCCACGATTGGGTACACATTAAATGGATTCTTCGACTTGGATTCCCTCCTTCATACCTTTCTCATCTCCATATTGCTTGCTATCCTGGAATTTTTCTGGGCTGGAACCATCTTTGACTTAATGAACAGGAGCTTACCTACTGGAAATTGGCCTCCTCTGGTTACATTACGTCTCTGGGAACATGACACTACTTTCAAGACTCATCTCTTCCCTCATTCTCGACTTCCTTGTCTCTTTATTCCCTCTCTTCTTTCCTTTTTTCTTTCTTTTGTCTGCACTTGTAATGGTATCAGAACGATGCGGGGAGTTATGTAAATCGTTCCTTGTTTGTCTATCAATTGTCCTCGAAACACTCGAGTACCTACGTATTGTGTGTGTGTGTGTGTGTGGTAATTCGAAGAATGAATACTACAGACATCCAGGTGATGCATTCGTTGTCAAGATCGCATCACATCGTGAAACTCATCATTCATTATCAATGACGTAAATTAACACGGAGTTAATGGATACTATACATCAAGCCCGCCGGTATCATAGTCTGACACAATAGTTTCAGACCACGCATTAGTACCGGATGGCATCTCAACGCCATTGCGAGCTGCTGAGGCAGCTGACCTGGCCAACAGGAGTCACACAAACTCCGTCGTTCTGCAGCATGGCTTCTGAAATCATTCCACTAGCAACCATTTGACTGACATAGACAGGCATAGAGACCGGTCTTCATGAACATTCATTCACTCGGACGAAAAAGCCAGTCACTTTCTGGAGTGGGGATCAGATAATTCGTGATATTGAATTCATTGGCGTTAGAATGCGAGCCATCGACGACGTGATTGGTATTACTGCTGCTGCTGCCGCCACCTGTCCCGGTCAAACCGTTCACAGACATGGGGTTGTTGACTGGGTCGCCGATATCCAGACTGAGGATATCCGTGGCCCGGGCAGCGGGAACACGAGGGACGTTGAAGAAGCCGAAGACGTCTAAGTATTCGAGCTCATTGGGGGCTGGATTCCTGACTGCTGCTGGTGAGGTGGAGGGCTGGCTGCCGGTTGGAGAGGTGCGGGGTTGTCGGGAGATGAGGAAGTCGAGGTCGAATGCGCAGCGGCGCATGTCTGCGAGGATCTTTACGGTGGATGGAGTGGCTCGTTCTGAGTCGGAGACTCCGGATTGCTGATACTCGCCGTATTCATCGAGGACACGCTGCAGGATTGAGCTGTAGCGCTCTGCTACTTTCCAGTGCTTGCCCATCTGGGCTAGGGTGTCGACGAAGAAGAGGATGTCGGGGCTGACGGTATGGGCTATTGTTGACCCGTGGACGAGGAGGAGCCGGGCGGATACCCAGAGAGTGAAGGCAAATGGGGGCCCTAGTTTGTCGAGCATGTTGTTGTCGACGACGAAGCGGGTCACTGAGAGGATGTTGTCCACTGCAAGCAGGCATCGCTGGCTTGCGCTGTATGATGGGGTGAAGATTGGTGATCGCGTAGTGGGGTACGCTGCTGATGAATGAAGCCGGATAACCGCACTGTATGGGTGAATGTTAGAATCGGAGTAGCTCTTGATGCGATTGCATGTGATCGAGGTGGTAAGATTATCTCACGTTTGGTAAGTGGCATGGAGCTGAACCCAGTCACAATGGATCCCCTTGGTAAACTTGGATCCATTGAACAATCGGGAGGAGTTCTCGTAGGCATATTCGGCTGGGAGGCCGAATTCCCAGGACGTTAACTCGCTGTCTAGCTTGCGGTATGTGGTCTGCCACTCCTCGACATCCGACAAAGCTCCTATATCGACAGGTCGCTTCAAGAAAGCATGGATCCGAGAGAGGATGCCTAATACTTCGACATAGAGTCCAAAGCTGCCGACGTTTTCGGCACGGGTCACGTAGTCAGCACGATTACTTGAGCGTTGGAACCATCTTGTCTCCACAGGCTGGTTCTTGATAAAATATTCGTCTTTGCATGGTAGTTTCCGGTCAATGTCCTTATCATCTAGGGCAAAATCAAAGGCGGTTGCAATGGTAGAATATCGGTCCAGGAAATAGACCATCCAGAAGAGCCTCCGTCTGCTCTCATCTTCGATCCAGGATTCGGGTTCCGGGAGCGTTACCGCCCTGAGCGTATAGATGGACGGGTAACTGGGAGCAATGAGTGAAGATTTAACTTCCACGGCCAAACCGAGCTGCACCACCGATCGTGTAATCAGTGCGAGCAGTTTCCATCCAGGAGGGCCGTTGGAGGACCCCACCAAATCCAAGGCCAGGATTACCAAGGCCTGGAGAGCCTTGACTGATGAGTTCTCTAACCCATAGAGCAGAACTTTCTGTTTGGAGGAGTCATGGTATCGTTTGCGGTTTTGTTCGTTGAGCCGACTGTCGCTCGAGAAACGAAGAGTGGTTGCAACTATAGCATAAAGCACTGTTCTGTCCGCATCTTCGAGGGGCGACGGACCAAAGAATGTGTCGAGAGTTGTACGACGATGGAGAATGGGACACCAAGTATTGATATGTTCAAAGTAGAGGTCCACCAGCGCATACAGGAGATCGTACGGGGGTAGATCGAGCTCTGGATCTGCAAGTAATTGTTCCTGGTTGGCGTACAGGTTGACCGGAACCTTTAGCGATGATTCATTTCCCATATAATCGTTGGCTTGTGACACGTTATTCGTCGACCGTGGTACCGAAACGGGCGCAGACATAGCACTCGCCAGATGATTTTGTATGGTGTTCTTGACCGATATGTCCGAAGGACTGGTGATGGATGGTTCAGACTGACGCGGTTGGGGCACGATAGATGGTGGATCATGGAAATAGAATGCGTTATTGGGACTGGGGCCCTGAGCTGTCTCTGATGGAGAACTGTATGAGAAGGGTCCTTGGTGTGAGATATCATGGCTCCTAGTCGGCTGGCCCTGGATAATATGCGTCTCAATTAGGCGAGCCTGCGTCTGAATAACCTCTTCTAACCGATCTGCATGCCTAGTGAGTTAAAGCTTCAGATGGACCTGCCAGAGACTAGCGACGCACCTAGCCTTTGTTCCAACTCCTTCCCATAACCTGCCCGTAGTCCGGGCTTTTTCCGCTCTTTGTATTCGCATAATTGGCCATTGCGAGAGCACCACCCACAGCTAGGCTGCGCCCGATCTGTGCATGTTAGCTTGTACCCATATGGAGCAAGGATTGAAGCTGAGGGGAAGCCACCGCATGGGCAGGGCATACCTACCGCACTTGACTTTCCTTTGCTTACATAGCTCGCATCTTAGTCGGTTAGTGAGATGTCCGATGAATGGCACCAGCCACAGCTCTGTCGGAATATATATTTCAAAGATTGGAGTGTGATAAAAGGGGATCTGTGCTTTCAATGGTTCAAAGCAGGATGGGACGGTACGTACGACACTGTGAGGGGTCGTTTACGTTTCAGCGCACGAGGGACGCCCGACCCGTTCTGCACAACACGATCATTCTCGCTATCGGCAGCGGACCAAGATTCATCCCCGCTGTGATCCCGATCCAGATCGCCAGGAAGTCGGGATGGTGGTGGAGTCTGTCGAACAGAGACAGCTGCAGCAGCGTTCGGCATGGTACTTTAGCGAGTCCGGGGTTTGTCGGGAGATAGACAGGTCCAGCCACAGCAGTTCGATCAGCAGCTACGAAGCATCCTGGTGGGAGGGGCGGAAATCGGTGATATTAGTCCGAGTCGACTGCTAGCTTCAAGGATTGTGCGAAGCGAGCGAAAGCGACACATAAGCAAAGGAGAAGAATAGGAAGGAATGAAAGAGACGAAGAGAGCGTTCGGGCTGGCATTGCCTGAGCCAAGAAAAGGCACGCGGACCCCCGCAAATGGACCTCCACATCTATTCTGCCGTTTGTGAAGAACTCTCTGGTCTGGGGAAACACTTTGCCCTGGGAAAGTCCTGAAATGTGGCGCCCCTTAGGGTCCATTCACCCGTCCATCGTTTTCCGACCAAGACTTCCCCTTCATCCCTGTGATTTCTGTTGGCGGCGCAGGTTGGAGACCCTCTCGGGGTAGCATTGCCCCGAGGCATCACCAGCCGAGGGGAAAGTGTGCCGGATGCCCCTCGACGCGGAGTTGCTCGTATGCTTTCAAATATGCTCCAATTTCCCTGAAAAAAAAAAGGTTTATCGCTTTCTTTTTTTTTCTTCTTCTTCTTTTGCTTCTCATTCTCTAAACTTTGTGATATTCTTCATACCCTATCCGCTAAAGTACTGCCAATATGGGCTCTACCGGCCAATTTCCCCGCATCAAGGAGATCCGCACCTTCATCATTGATGGTGTGGGATCCGGAGGTGATTACCATAATGTATGCTCAGCAGTGCTGGGATAAATTATTTGCAGACCGCTAATCTTCTTCAATTCAACAGGTCAAAGGAGGTCACTGGTTGATTGACAGCAACATCTCCACCCCTATGACTCGCTGGGCACAATACCGCGGCTCTCGCACATCATGGGGTATCAACGTCCTGGGCTCTTTCTGCGTCGAGATCGAAGCTACCGATGGGACCAAGGGATTTGCAACGGGATTCGGTGGACCTCCGGCTTGCTGGCTGGTTCACCAACATTTCGAGCGCTTTTTGCTCGGTGCGGGTACGGGCCATCAATATTGTCTCCCATGGATGAGCCAGGCTAATATGTATCCCCTCTATAGACCCCAGAGATACCAATGACCTGTTCGAGAAGATGTACCGGGGATCGATGTTCTATGGCAGAAAAGGTCTCCCTGTTGCCGTCATCTCGGTGATTGACTTGGCTATCTGGGATCTTCTGGGCAAGATTCGCAACGAACCCGTCTACAAGCTCATTGGCGGCGCTACTCGTTCACGTCTGGACTTCTACTGCACTGGACCACAGCCCGCTTCGGCCAAGGCCATGGGTTTCTCCGGAGCCAAGGTCGCTCTTCCCCATGGCCCTGACGAGGGTACAGAAGGACTGTTGAAGAACGTCGAGTACCTCCGTAAGCAGCGGGACTCAGTCGGTCCCAACTTCCCTCTGCGTGTCGACTGCTACATGTCCCTGAACGTTCCCTACACAATTGAGCTTGTCAAGCGTTGCGAGGCGGAAGGAATCAACATTGACTGGTGGGAGGAATGCTTGACCCCGGATGACTTTGACGGTCATGCACTTCTGAAGAGAGCCCACCCCACTGTCAAGTTCACCACCGGTGAGCACGAGTACTCTCGGTACGGTTTCCGGAAGCTCGTTGAGGGCCGCAACTTGGACATTCTGCAGCCCGACGTCATGTGGGTTGGTGGTATGACGGAGTTGCTCAAGGTCTCCGCCCTTGCCAGTGCCTACGACCTCCCAGTTGTTCCTCACGCATCTGGACCTTACTCCTACCACTTTGTGGTTTCGCAACCAAACTCACCCTTCCAAGAATACCTCGCCAACTCTGCAGATGGACACACTGTTGAGCCCGTCTTCGGAAACCTCTTCCTCAACGAACCCATCCCTACCAAGGGACACCTGGATGTTTCGATCCTGGACAAGCCGGGCTTCGGCCTCGAGCTGAACCCTGCTGCGCCTCTTATCCCAGCAGCCTCCATTCTCACTCCTGCGCCTCAGAAGGCTCTGGTTGCCCCAGCTGAGAGCCAGCAGGAATCTAACGGCACTGCTTAAGCAGGGTTTTTACGACATCTCTAGATTACGGCTTCTACAAGATGCTTGATGGCATATTTTCAACCTGTGACGAGATTAGCATATCCTATACATGTATACATGATTTACCTTTGTTTCAGTTTTTTTTTTTACAGAACAAATAGATAGGGGCAATGGAACAATCCTCAACAAGACTTGCGAGCAATCCTCCAATGTGGGGTAAATGCCGAATGTGGGGGTGGTCTCGGGGTAACAATGCCACGAGAGGCCCGAGACCGACTCCACTTATTTGAACGTAGATTTACTTCTTTGGTTATGCTGAATCTCCCCGGCGGGGTTGACCAAAAATACCAGCACAAGACGAGCACTCAATCCAGGACTATAAGCTCGCATTATCCCTCTGTTCACTTCAATTCCCTTCAAAGAAGACCCAATCGACCATCACCAGAAGCAACCACCACCAGAATGCCTCTCCCCCAGATCCTAGTCGGCAAAGTTGCCGCCATCACAGGTGGTTTAACCGGTATTGGCAGGGTAAGACACAGCAACAAACAACAGAACTCACTTGAACTACCAGGCCAGCCTAACATTATCTTCTCTCTAGGCCATCGCCCTCGAATACCTCCGCCACGGCGCCAAAGTAGCCGTAAACCACCTCGGCGGACCCAAAGAAGCGCCCCTCATCGAAGCAATGCGCAAAGACGTATCTGAAATTATCCGATCCAACAGCGACAGCGACAGCGAGCAGAGCAGCAGATTTATCCTGGTCGCAGGGGACGTAACACAGCCCGAGACGGGGCGGGACTTCGTATCTAAAGCCGTGGAAGCCTTTGGCCGACTCGACGTGTTTGTGAGTAATGCGGGAGTGTGCAAGTTTGAGGAGTTTCTCGAGTACGTTGCGGCCCTCCCCCCCCCCCCAATCCCATTCACAAATAGATATCTTCCCTTATCTCTTACACCCTGAAAGAACCAATACTAAATACCACATGTCATTCCAACGGTATAGAGTCGACCCCCCACTCCTCGGCCACACAATCAACACAAACCTAAGCGGCGCATTCTGGGCAACGCAAGCAGCAGCACGACAAATGGCACTAGCTCAATCGCCACCGGGAGGCTCTATTATCGGAATTAGTTCTATCTCTGCGCTTGTCGGGGGTGGACAGCAAACGCATTATACGCCTACGAAGGCGGGCGTGCTTAGTCTTATGCAGTCGTGTGCGGTTGCGTTGGGCAAGTATGGCATCAGATGTAATGCGCTGTTGCCGGGGACGATCCGGACTCAGTTGAATGATGAGGATATGAGTGATCCGGTGAAGAGGTCGTATATGGAGGGGAGGATTCCGTTGGGAAGGCTGGGCCAGCCGCCGGATTTGGCGGGGCCGGCGGTGTTTTTGGCGAGTGAGGAGTTGAGTGGTTATGTGGTGAGTATTATTTTCCCTTTGTTCTATGTTTGGGAAGGGTGTGCTAATGTGGATGGATAGACTGGAGCGCAGATACTGGTGGATGGGGGTGCTTTTGTGAATCTTCAGTAGATAATGATATGTTATGATGATGATGATATCTTTATTGTGGATATACTTGGTCATGGAAATCGGTGTACATACATACATGCATACATACATGCATACATACATGCTTCCAATATATGATTTGAATAAGTATTAACTTTCAATCCCATATGCCTTGAGGGCAACACCTCCCCATACACCCTCCTTTTGCTCCTGCGACAAGCCCCTCTTCTCCAAAATACCCTCCACCACACTCCTCCACCGTCTCCAGGCGACTGTATTTCCGCCTCCACCCACATTACACACAGGCCAGTCAGACCCAAACATGACTCTCTCCGGCCCAAACGCATCAAAGACCACATCCGTCCACAGCTGGACCTGGTCGACTAGGGAAGCAATATCCGGTTCCGAATCCGCCGTCAGCGGGAGAAGCTCCGAGAATCCCCCGGAAAGCTTCATATACGCCGTCGGATGCTGTGCCATGGCAGTGATGAGGGAGCTCCATTCCAGGAAATCAGGATGCGTAGCGATCGAGTCGGGCGACGTATACGGCAGACGCAGGTTCGGCTTGCACAGGTGGTCTGTAGATAGCTTGTTAGCCCAAACCTCCCCAAAGAAAGAGGAGCAGAAACTGATGGGGGAAATAAAGGAACAAACATACTTATAACAATCCTAACCCTATCCTTCTTCTCCCCCACCCCCCGATAAACCGTATTCATCATCTCCGCCGCCTCCCTCAACTGCCACATCCCACCTTGACGCGCATCCACCCCCAGATCAAACGCCAACTGCTGCCTTCCTAGCCACTTTAACCCATCAATGAACTCAGGCTTTAGCATGACTCCGCTCGGCTTATCCTGGACGAGATACCGCACTCCGCGGACCTTCTTGAATACTTCTTCCGTGCGAGTCCGCTCCCTCACGAGGGAAATGTACTTCTCTAGCGCAGCAGGACCCCCAGGTACAGGCGCCCAGGGTACCATACCTAGACAGAGATGGCGATCTACATCTTTGTGGCCTTCCCCTGGGATGGGGTCTCCGGTGATGATCCGGGTGAGGAAGGAGACTTCGTCGAGGGCGTGGGACCAGCCACGGGTTGGATCTGATTCTTCAATTGAGGAGATACGGTCGGTTTCGAGGAAGATGAAGCCGCGGAGGTAGTGTGGGTTTGTTTTTGTTGGTGTTGTTTCTTCCGGGGATGTGGGAGTGGAGGTGGTTGCGAGGCGGTATTCATCGATAGAGTGCTGGGATCCTAATGGGCTGGAGGGGGTGTACCAGGCCAGGGTGGGGAGATGGGATGCTGGGAAGAGGTGGATGTGGGAGTCGATGATTGGGGTTGGCATTGTTGTGGATGTGGTACTTTTGTCTTCTCTTTTCTTTGTCTTCGTGTTCGTGTTTGATGTGCTTGTGAGGGGTTGAGATGGTGATCTTCCCGGGGATGCGGGGTTGAGTGCTGCTTGGGATGATTGAAGAGAGGGAGATAGTGAAGACTACAGAATTAAGAAGAGACTTGTTGGTTAGAATGCTTGTGCAGTAGAGAACAGAACAGCTATCGAAAGAGGGGAAGTAGTGATTCAGGTCTGGTGAACATCATGCA